CTCAACTCAATCTCCTCATACTTTCGGTGACATCTTTCTAATTTTTTATTTTCATCTTTAATTAATTGTTTTTTGCTAATCTTCTATCTATTTTTTCTTCTATTTATTTTACGAGGAACAACAATTTTAGGACGTTTCGAAAGAAAAATTCTTTGAAAAAAAAATGAGTTTACCTCGTGAAAAACCTGTTAAGCTTGCTAATGATCTTAACATGCCTTTTCATTTTAATGGTGAGCATTTCAAAAGATGGAAAGGAAAAGTTTGTATTATCTCAATTTGTTAAAATTGGCATATGTCCTCAATGAGGAAAATCCTATTAATTTGTCAACCGAAGGTATGAGTGCTGAGAAAAAGAAATCTCACAAGAAGAAAGTCCAAAAGTGGGAGAAAGATGAATATAGCTGCCGCAACTCTTTACTTACTTGCCTTTCTGATGAGCTTTATGATTACTATGAAAGAACTTACTCCACTGCCAAGGAAACTTGGGATGCTTGCAGAAAAAATATGACACTGAAGAGGCTGGTGCAAAGATGTATGCTAGTAGCCGATGGTTGCGCTTCTAAATGGTGGATGACAAGTCGGTGGTGTCACAAATTCGAGAGTTACAAATGCTTGCTCATGAGTTTCGGTCTGAAGGCATACGAATTGATGACAATCTCGAAGTTGTAGCCATTATTGACAAGCTGCCGCCTTCATGGAAGGAGTTCCAAAAGAAGATGCGTCACAAGCAAAAGGAGATCACCGTGGAAAATCTTTTAACTCGTATTTGAGTTGAAGAGGAGGCAAGGAATCAAGATGCTCGAACAACAAATGGAGGCAACACATCCAAGGCTATAAGCCAAATCTTAGCTATCTCAAAGCTTGGGGATGCTTGGCTTATGTGAGATTGACAGATCCAAAAAGACCAAAGTTGGGTGCAAGAGCTGCGACGTGTGTATTTATTGGGTACACAACTACAAGTAAGGCATATAGATTCCTTGATCTTGATTCTAATGTTTCTATTGAATCTGTGGATGCCATATTTCATGAAGATAAATTTCCTTTTAAACTTAAGAAGGATGGAAGTCATGATTTTACGAAACAAAATGATTTTGAACCTAGTTCCTCAATTTCATCTCATTTTCAAAACGAAGAGAACATGGATTTTGAACCTAGGATAAGTAAAAGAACATGTAAATAAAGAGATTTTGGTTCAGATTATTATGTATATAATGTAGATGGAGAACCATTGTCTTTTCAAGAAGCTTTAACTTCTTCTGATTCTAATTTTTGGAAAGAAGCTATTAATGATGAAATGGATTCTTTGATTTCTAATAAAACTTGGAAGTTGGTAGATTTACCTCTTGGTTGTAAAACAATAGGATGTAAATGGGTTTTGAGGAAAAAACTTAAACCGGATGGAACCATAGATAAATATAAAGTAAGGCTTGTTGCAAAAGGTTTCAAACAAAAAGAGGAACTAGACTTTTTTGATACCTTTTCGCCTGTAACAAGAGTGACTTCCATTAGAGTACTTATAGCTGTAGCCGCCATTCATAACATGCTCATCCATCAAATGGATGTTAAAACGGCATTTTTAAATGGAGACTTGCATGAAGAAATTTATATGGATCAACTTGAAGGTTTTGTTATGCCTGGGCAGGAGGACAAGGTATGTAAATTGACTAAATCTCTTTATGGTTTGAAACAAGCTCCAAAACAATGGCATGAGAAATTTGATACTTGCTTGATAGAACATGGTTTTAAATCAAGTGAAAGTGCTAAATGCATATATTTTGGAATTTTCAATAATTGTCATGTTGTTATATGTTTGTATGTTGATGATCTCTTGATTTTTGGTTCAAGCTTAGAGGTGATTAACACTACTAAGTCATTGTTAAATCA